TTATAATAATTTAACTTTAAATATTATCTAAATTTAAGATTAAGGAGTTTATAATTAATATTAAATTAGTAAGAGTATAAAGAAGATTTAATCTAAGGTTTATTTCTTTTAATATATTAAAATATTTATTTTCTTTAGATTTTTATTTAATCTAGCTAGATTAATCTTTATATAAATAAAAAACTTTTTTTTAAATAATCTTTCGAGTAGTAAGCTTCTTTAATTATAGCTATTAACTTTTTAATAATATACTTTCTTTTTAGCTATATATTTAATATAACTAATAAATAAATCGCTATTACTTTAAAAGAAAAATAAATAATATTATATTAAAGATTTAATAGTATATATAATAACTCTATATTATAGTATAAAGAGAATACTATCTATATAGAATTATTATAAATATATAAACTTTATAGTAAGATAGAAAGATTAAAAGATCTTAATACGCTAAGCTTAATTAGACTATAATATAAGTAAGATTAATAAAGTTATTAAAATCGTAATATAGATATATTTTATAAGTATCTCTTATCGTAACTTTAAAAGAGGCTATTCGTTTCTTAAATTTGAAGAAGAATTATCGCTACTTATAGTGTCGATGTTATTAATTTCGAATTCTTCGTTTATTTTTATCGCGTAGAGTTATATTTCCTCGAAGGCTTTTTTAATAGTCTCGATCTAAGTAGTTATTATATAAATACTTCGATAGTAATCTTTCTTATCGTAATTATAGTATATAGATTCTTTTAACTTTAAATTAATCTTAATATTTAAAGGCGTAGTAGTCGTAATCTTAGTAATAGATATAAGATATATATTAATTATAATTCGTATTATAGTTAACTTAATAATAGTCTTTATAGATTCTATATCTTTATATCTAATACGATATATATTAGAATCGATATAGATGTAATATTAATATAGATATATTAAATAAGATAACTAAGGTATCGAACTATATAGGTGAAAAGGAGGTATAATATGATAGGGGATGCCTCCGCCAAGGCCCGCTAGCCATAGGGCTAAGAAGTGTATTAAGGATACGCTCGTAACAATATAAGTTATTTAGTTTTTAAAGATATTCCTTTATAATCTTTAAGATAATAAAATCCTTTATAATATTCTATAACTCTCTTAAGTTAAATCTTAATTTCTTTAAAAGATAATTCTCTAGTAGAAGAATTTTCTTAATATTAAGAACGATAGCTAGTCGAATAAAGTCTAAATAGAAGTTAATAAAGAATTAAGTCTTTTATTATAGAGTATTTATCTTACGCTATATATTATTATATCGATTTAAATTCTTATAAATATTAATTAATTTATTTATAATTTTATTAATAGATTAATATAGATTAATAAAATTTCGAAGTCTTCTATATATAATATATTATATAGCTTTATTATTAAGTTATAAGATTATATAAGCTATTTTAAAGTCTTTAATAAGATAATAATCGCTATTAATTTTAAATTTCTATTTTATTTTAAAGAACTAGTCGTTTTAAATAAAGTTATTATTATTAATAAATAGAGGTAAATCTAAGATTTTAATTAATTTCTCTTTTAAACGTCTAGGCGTACGTTTCTCCTCGATTAAGAATAATTATAAATCTTTTATCGATTATATATTAAGACTATTAACTTTTCGTTATAGAAAAGTTATATTCTTCTAAAAGTCTTAAACTAATTAATTTACCTTCTTAGTTATTTTATAGATTTAAAATAAATCGTTTATAGTTAGATTCTTTCTTATTATAACGACGTAATATCGAGTAGTAATCTTTTAGAAATTATCTCGCTTCTAATAAATCTTATTTAGTATAATTATAAATTCGTCGAGTTAATATTTAGTTTAATATTATAGTTATAGACTATTAGCGATATTCTAAGATATATCTATCGAGTTTATCTCGTTAGAAATATTATCTAATAAAATTAATATTTATTAAAATTTAATTTACTCTAATAAAGTCTTAATTTAATTTATTTTTTTAATATTAAATTTTATTATAAGAAAGAAGAAAGAAGAGTTTAAAAAGAAGTTTAAATATTTTAAAAGAATAGATATTAGAAATATTAGATTAATTAAAGACTAATAAAATCTCTTTAAGATATTTCGAAATTATTCGATATTAAGAATAAAAAATTTTATTATAAAATTCGAGATAAGATTATTTCTTTACGAAGATTTAATATATTTATTTTTTAATTATTTAAGATATTAAGAAGATTATAAATATTTTAAATAATACTCTTTCGAGTATATTTACTTCGTCTAGAGAAGTCTTTTATCTTATAGAGAAGTTATATATAAGAAAGCTTATAAATAATATTTTAATAATATTAGCTATTTCTTTCAATTCGCTAATTATATAAATAATTTAATATCTTATTTATCTCTTAATTACTATTTATCGAGTTCGATTCGCTTTAAAATCGAATTATCTATTTAATAGATTTATCTAGAAATATAATAGTTTAACTTAATTTCTTATTAAAGCCTCTATTAACGCGTTTCTTTAAATTCGTTCGCTAATATAAATAAAATAAGTAAGTTAATTTTAGTTATAATATTAGAATTAATATAGATATAATATTAATATAAATATATTAAATAAGATAACTAAGATATCGAATTATATAAGTAAAAAGAAGATATAATATAATAGAAGATATCTTCGCTAAGACTCGCTAGCTATAGAGCTAAGAAATATATTAAAAATACGCTCGTAATAATCTTTATTAATATAATTATTATAATTATTAATTAAATTTTTATATAAAATATTATTAACTCTTTTAATCTAATTTAATATATTGAAATCTTCTTTAAAATTAAATTAAATTTATTTAAACTTATTTTTTTATTATTTTATATAAAGAATTATTATTAAAATATAAAATTTTATTAATAAATTTTATTTTTAAATATTATAATATCTTTTAATTATTAAAAAAAATTATTTATATATAATAGTCTTCATGAGAGAATAAAGAATATTATAAACTATTTAAATAATTATAATATATTTAAATTTAAATTTTTATTACTATTTTAAAATTAAAAGATTTATTAAATTATTAAAAAAAGTTTTATAAAGATTAGAAGTAAGATTATAATAATAATAATAATTAGAAAACTTATTATTTCTTTTATATTATTAAAACTAATTATATTTATTCTTATTATCTAAATTCTTAATTTTAAATTTTATTATTTAATTAAATATATTTTTATTTAATTTATTTATTTATTTAACTTTATATAATTAATTATTTATATTAATATCTTAATAATTTTAAAATATTCTTTTAAGCATTTTTTAATAGATCTTTATTTATAATTACTTTTTAATATTAATCTTTTAATTTAATTTTTTTAATTTTATATTTTTATAATTTAAATATAAAAGTATTAAAATAGTATAAAAACCATATCAGAACGATATTAGAATTTTTATAGTTTTTTTTTTACGGTGTTAGAGTAAGATATTCGTTAATAGAATTAAATAATGCTAATTACTTTACATCGTACTGGTACTAAGCTAGCACGGTGTGCGCCTTTGCAGGCACGCCCGTAAGGTACTTCGTTCATCCTTTGAGACATGCCGCTGCTACTAATAAAACCCCTAAAACGCGGGGCTAGGGGCAGTCTACGGAGTTGTGGCTGCAGATTACCTGCTTTCGAATCTCCTGAAGACTCGGTTTCCGTTCTCAAGTGTTTGTCGTGTTGATGTCTTGCAAATTATCACATTGCGAACTTCCTTTAAATCATGATGTTTTGGTTACGGTTTCTGCCGTTATTATCTATCACTTCTGACATGACCGTCTCTCGCCGCCAAGGCCTTCGAAAAGCGTCGAACAGCTGGCCAGTTCCATGATTTTCTTCTAACGGCCTCGTCGCTCGTCGTCACAGATTCAACAAATGGTTCCCCGATTTCGGCGGAAGGATCCATGCCGTATCCGGTGGAGCCTGCCAAGTCAGTTTGCAAGCATATCAGTGTGGCACCTAGCTTCTGGAAGACTACTTGGAACAATAGATCATTCCGCACCCGTGTACGGATTAGCATTCTCGCCCAACGATGAGATTCTCGTTTCTGGCGACCGGATCGGGGCGACGAATTTCCGGGTTTCAAGTACATGGGACCTACAGCTTACTCTCAGTCTTGGCAAGCCAATAACATCGATAGCGTTTTCGCAGAACGGCAGGCGCCATGCGTGTTTGATGGGATATCTAGCTGACGAAATCCGATTTTGGGACGCAGAACACTACATTCAATTTCGGAGGGCTCAACCCAACCTCAATAGTAGTTCTTTCATATGGAACATATCTATGGCGTTTTCGACAGACGAGTCGTACATTGATACGGATCTAGGACGGATTTGGCTCGAACATTCTCCCAATGGTCTCCCAAATGAAACGAATGTGCCTGTGAAAAGGTGGAAGGTCCACCACGACTGGCTTTTTCATGATGGACAGAAATTACTCTGGCTACCCCCTGATTTTCGACCAATAAATCCATCATGCACAGCTTTACGCGAAGACCTTTTTGTGATTGGCCATCAATCTGGCAAGTTGTCGTTCTTCGAGGGCATTACTCAGGCCCCAGCGCCAGACCAAGCATACGAAGCCACTGCCTCTGAGCGTAGGAGCGGGGCCGGAAAAAGAGTTGGGAGGAACTGTAGCATTAGTTCAAGGGCAACGAATTTAATGCAATGCATTGCCTCCCCGCTCTTGTCGAGACATTGCAAGCGGTCTGGTGAGGCTGCTTCAACACCTTGTACAGACCTTGAAAACGATTCGGATGGAGAGTAGTGTATATACACAAATGCCTCCCAGACAGAGGATTCCGACAAGCAAAGCAAGCAATCTCCGCACCTCACCCCCAAGAAAATCCTGCCCCACGCTGAACTCCACCCCCTCCTCCAGCACCAACCTCATCGACCATAAGAAAGCGGACACGTCCAACATTTCCACACAATTGCACCTAGCTGAGGCTTTTCTTCACCCTCGTATGAGCTATAGTCGCAGGGGTTTCTCCCCATCGTAGAGAGGGTTCCACCTCAAGATTCGGTGCCTGTAGTGTCTCCTTTTTCATCCTCTCTACGGTAGTCTTCGTCTTTCCATGGTCTACCAGGGCAAGAGACCTTGAACTCCGGCCTTTCCTAACTGGAGAATATCGACTTTGCCTTTCCAGCAGGAAATTTGAAATTCTGTGATCGGCAAACGCAGCTTTGACAAGCGTTTCAGTAATCCGGATCGCTGAACCTCTATGATCTATCAAAATTGTCATCATTGATAGACTCGTCTGTGCCGCATAAAAAAGAATTCGTTCTGTGATCTTGACTTCGTTTCTCCTGTCTATCAGAAGCAGTCGCATCACGCCTTCATCCAAGTTCCTTACCGCAGAGATAAGAACTTGTTCTGTGATCTTGATATCGTTTCCTCTGTCTGTCAGAAGCAGTCGCATCACGCCTTCATTCGGGTTCGATGCCGCAGAGACAAGAACTCGTTCTGTGATTTTGATATGGTTTCCTCTGTCAGTTAGAAATAGTCGCATCACGCCTTCATCCAAGTTCGTTGCCGCACAGATAAGAACTTGTTCTGTGATCTTGATATCGTTTCCTCTGTCTGTCAGAAGCAGTCGCATCACGCCTTTATCCAAGTTCGATGCCGCAGAGATAAGAATTTGTTCTGTGATCTTGACTTCCTTTCTCCTGTCTCTCAGAAGCAGTCGCATCGTCCATTCATTCCGGATTCTTGCCGCAGAGATAAGAACTCGTTCTGTGATTTTGATATGGTTTCCTCTGTCAGTTAGAAATAGTCGTAAAACACTCTCATCGCAGTTTTCCGCCGCAGCCACCATCAAAGCTTCTGTGATTTTGATATCTGAGGCCCCAATGTCTGACAGCATATCCGTCCACTGAATGCGTGAAGACCACCTTGCCACTGCATTCATCATGTTGCTTGATGCAGAAATCTTCCCTCCATGGACACGCAAAATGCACTGGAATGATTTTGGGGCCTTCACGAACATTTGGCCAATTTGACCTTCTTCGAACTTCGCCGCTCCGAAATCACCAGAAAGAATCAGCTCCGTAAGCCAGGGAATGTCCGCATAGACAGCGAGCCCAGTTAGCACGTTGGGATATAGGAGACCAGCGGCCCAGATCTCAAGACCACCGGCCCAGATCTCAAGCAATGACTGCTCGCAATCTAATAGATTCTGGATCCGCTTCCACTCGGATTTGGCGTCTACCGTCGTCTTAATATGTTTGTGCCACTGGCTGCATGCATAGCGGAGAAAGTGGTAGGGCTTTTCAATTTCAAAAAAAAGGACCCCCTTCCCATGTCTGCAAATGAGTCCCATTCATGGTAGACATGAATTTTGGGTTTGGGAACGGGTTGACCAAACTCTTCAGCGTTGAGATACCAAATGCAAGTTCTTGCAAAGTAAAGATCAATTTCACCGTTGAAAGCTTTGGCTCGAATTCCCCGAAAATAATCATACACCGATTGATGATTGAGGTAGACGAATTCTTGACCAACGAAGGGTGTCTTTTCAACTTTCAAAAGAGTCCCGAGATGTTCACGAATCATCTGACTGTTGATTGATCTTCGATCATCGTCCCTTTCTGACAATGTCTTGTATTCGCCGAGTTCCGGATCGCACATTATTGCATCGTCAAGTTCTTCAACACTGAGCGGTCGTTCCGAATATGCTACCCAATACAACAGCTTTTCGCATGTTTTTTGAGGCGTATCGGTGGCGACTATGCGGGAGAAGAGCTTTTCGTATAGCTCATCCAAATCTTTTGGGTTTTCCGCAAAGATCCTTCGTACCTCACGCATGCTTGGGAATTTGAGGCCAGTGATTTGTTTGATGACAATCGACACCCATAGAAATGTTGTCCCTGCCTGTGCAAGCAACTCCTTTTCGATTTCTTTCTTGCGCTCATCGTCAAAGGAATGGCTCGGAAGCTTCTCGACTTCTGAATTGATGACAGCCTTCAAGTCTTCTATGCGAGCTTGTAATTCCAGAGTAGGGAATTTCTGTAACCCTGCATTGATGTCTTGCTCCCCAGGTCGGCTTGTTAGTAGGAACTTGACATGCATTCGCTCCGTTGACACCAGGTCCGCGATATTGCGAACAAGCTCGGACCGTTGTTCATTGTCCTTACTACATTCATCGAGAGCATCGATAACGCAATAGATACACCGATCTCCAAATTTGGATGCAAGCTTCTGGAACAAATCCCAAAGATTTGCAAGGGGCGCGGTAGAGAACTTGGAGTCGTCCTCTATGTATTTAGTCGGTAAACACTGGAATAGCTCTTGGCAATCAATAAGCTGGATGATGAGCGCTCGAAGGATGTCGGTGGCTCGCCTGAGCTTTTCTTCCTGTTGAAAACAGAAAAAGTAGATCACAGCGCAATTTCTTCCCGGAAACCCGTTTTCTAAATGCTTGAGCGCGATCTTTGCCAATGTCGACTTGCCTTGCCCCGGAGATCCTTCAATCCAAAGCAAGGAACTTCTTCGCGCATCTCGCCATGATTTGAAACTTTCGCCGGTAAGAAACCAATCTCCTGTGCCTGGACAGGGCTCAATTATTCGTCTGGATCGAACTTCATCGAGCGGCATATCAGTGAGGCTGATCAACTTTTTCTTTTGGTCACTGAGAAGCTCTGATGGAAAGTGAGAAGATTTCAACTAATAGCTCTTTGAATGATTCACGCACCAGTCACGCCAGTAAAACGTGCATGGACTACAGCTGGTGCTTTCTCCACCATCTCCTTGAACCGTGGCTCCACTTGATTTGAATACTTGGGGTCACTTGGGCCTCGAAATTTGACGAGACCGGAGTGATCAGTCAAGAGTGGGCTGTGCCTATTCCAATCATCTTTACCGTCGATTTTCGTTGCAGATTCCTCGGTAACCATCAACATCTTCGGACCAGTCCTCTTCCATTCTCCGGGTTTCGATTTCGATTCCTAAGACCGAGTGATGAGAGAGATACACCAAGTTGCTTTCCGTTACTTACCTCGGCAGTAGGACTCTTGTCTCGCTCATAGTACGAATCTACGTGGAAATGTCGGTCTCTGCAGAGAGCGTAGAAGTTGCTTCCCAATGCTTTGAGTGTCGAAGATGGTTCCGAATCACGGTCAACAACAATTTCCCTTATCAGGTTCTCGCTTCCCGTGAGTTCGGCCATAGCCAGTAATTGGTCGTGTCGCAGGCCAAGATTTGGCACGCCAAAGAAAATAAGACCATAGCAGGCCTCAAGTATGGCTTTCGCGGTATCTTTGCTTCCCTGATGCGTGGCGATTACTAATGCCTGAAAAATTCACATGAGCCAATGTCCTGGAGAAAACAAGCATGGCCAGACCACTTAGCTTACCTCTTTGACCACTAGACCTCCTAGACTATGACCGAGAAAAATGATTGGGCGATTCGGTGGCTAGTGTGTGTAAGCGAATCGTGACTTCCGTGATCTGCCATGGGATAATGCCTACAGAGTTTCTGCGAAAGAACACTACCGACTCCAAGAAACCTCTAGCAATATCATTAATGGACAGCTTCCTCACACCTTTAGCTATCTCGATGGGATATCCGTAGACTAGCACTCGAATATTAGGCGACTTCATGGGAAGGTAGTCCCTCAACCAGTTCTCTCCGGGTCTGTCCTGATGTGTGAAAGATGCCCAAGCATGGCCTGCCAGGCCAGGACACACGATTAAACTAAAGCGGTATGAACATGATATAAGATGAAAATGAGTGAAATGGGTGTTGAAGACTCAGCTTACTCAACAGCGTTTTCACCATCTGGCTTATCATACAGAGTGGTTATGCCCTCGAATTCCTTGTCCGGGGTAACACTTGACAAGTCTGGATTAGAATGGCTAATGCAGTTTGTCTGGATGGGTACCCACTCGAGATATATCTGATCATTTTCAATAGGACCAAGCTGCAACTCAAAATCTTTCCCGTCTTCAAAGATTGGTTTGGGAGCTCTTAAAGTAAGAACCGCACAGTATCCTTCAAGTTGCGGTTGTAGCGATAGGTCCGAATCTGTCACTGAAACACCGAAGCGTGTTTCCAATGCAGATTTAAGAGCTTTAACTGTCAAACCACAAGGCTTTTTGTTGTCGCGTGGCCTTATGAGTAAACGCCAGGTAAGAATTTTGGAAGGAGTCGCTTTTTCCTGGCTTTCGTCAGTCGCTTTTTCCTGGCTTTCGTCAGTCGCTTTTTCCTGGCTTTCGTCAGTCGCTTTTTCTTGGCTTTCGTCAGTCGCTTTTTCTTGGCTTTCGTCGTGCTGTTTTGGATGAAGCAGAAAGTTTAGGAAACAAATGCTGATGATGATGACGGCGACGATCAAGGCATATTGGAGGTGCATTGAGAAAGTCGGCATTGTGTGGAGCAGTGACATTTTTCGCAGTGAAGCAGTAATCAGAGCGACAGAGCGGGCAAATTGCCTATGAGTCTAGATATGAGTTGCACAGATGGAAACTGGGGAGTATTTAAGCTAGATTTTCCCGCCGTGCGGCCGAACATGGCATAGCTTCGCAGCTTTGTAACAAAGGCTAAGAAAAGACACAGCCGCCAGCCTCGCCGTATCTTTATAAGTGGGATTGTACACAGCCGCTGACTCTCCCATCTAGGCAAGTGCTACCACAATCCATGTAAAGTCCAGAGGCCAGAATTGAATCTAACGAGCCGCCATGTAAAAGTGAAACCTTCTGACCGATAGCAATCCGGTGACTAGTCGATGTAGGAGCACTCGTTACAAAGTCAATGGACATTTGACGAATGTGCCACGCAAATGCGAAAGCCTAACCCTCTTCTTCGACATTCTTTGGACTTGAGAATATGCGCTTTGCGAGCAACGTCGACAATGGGCAAGCTGTGACGCATTTGAGACAATGACCAAACTTCAAGAAGCTTTTTACGTCTGAAACTGGCTTTGGGGCAAAGCGGTGTATTGTGGATTGGTAGGCTCGTAGAACAGGGAGATATGCATGATCGACACATTAATGAATCTTGGTCGGGCGTATCGAAAATGTTACCTTTTGACGCCAATTGAGCCGTAGGTTTGTTTGTATGAGGGAGCATGGCATGGCGTGCATTAGTGCGGAATGGAGGTGTGCTGGATTATCGGTAGCGCTTTGAATTAAATTTTTAGAACCCCCTGCATCGTGAATTTTGTCACATGCGGAGCCATACCTCCGTACGGCGTTCTGCATACTATACCGTACGCCGAGGCTGAACCTAAAATCTACTAAATGAGTAAACCTTCAGCCTCGTCTTTGAACAGTAACCGCCGAGAGTACCAAATTTCAGGTAAGGATTTTGTTCCATGTCGGCGGTTATCGGATACATTCAGTCAAGCAAAAGCTTAAGATGCACCTTGAAGACAACGCGCACTAGCCTCTGGCTTGGCGGCAGCCAAATGCACCTCGCCATCATGCTAGCCGAATACTCAGCGTAAATCCACGCTATGATCGTGGTGGGTGTGTCTCTAGATATGACTGAGAAGACTGATTGATTGATTGATTCATACTCTACCGGGCACCCTACGCAGAGGGTTTTACGGGCGATAAAGGCCCAGCCGGACGCATCGCTCCCGGGATTGCCAGCCTCGGATTATACTAGCGTTCTACCTACATATTACGCAAAGCGGGGTACGAGTGTAAGGTACATAGCCAACAAGCTCCGCTTCATCTTTTCGAAACCACATCTTGACAAAATCCTGATTACACTTCGATCATTGGACGACGACACTGAATGTTGAAGATGCAATAAAGTCATGTTCAACTCTTAAACGCGCGGGTTGCTCTGAGCGGGAGCCACAAAATGCCAGGGGCGGACACGGCTCACAGCGACTTGCTTTAGCTTAGACATGGAAACCCGGAGATCCATGACTGCGCCCTGCGAGTTGAGAGTACATATGAGTCATAGACCCTCAGCTATTTGTGGATCCAATTGCTCGCAAAATTATGGTAACCAATCACATTCTAGAAACGTCCATCTTACAAATGCATGCGCGATGCTACTTTCTACCGTTCTGCCTTTTACTACGCTCCATGTCTGTGCCAATACTGGCTTCATCCACTTACTATTTATATATTGGAAATTTTATGTAACTGACGGTCAAAACAGGAGCCTTTTTTTCCGGGTCAAACACATGCCTACTTATTTTACCATCTTTTCGCTTCTGCTATCCTTATTCTTTCCCCTTTCGATCATAGCATATACACATCAAGATGCTATAGAACCTTCAGTGTCTTATAGCAACTATCGATCGATATTTTTATCTTAGCTTTCTTAACGTCGCTATCGTTATTATTATCTATACTATTAAAGATATTTTATATAATATAAAATTTCTTAATACTTATATATATTTCGAAGTCTCGACTAAACTAGATCTCTCGTTTAACGATTTCTTTATTTTTAAGTTATATAAAATCTTATAAATAGTATAATTAAAGTCTTTAAATAGTATATTAATAGATAACGAGTATAAGACTTTCTAAGCTCGAGTTAACTTAAAGGTCGATATATTAAATTTATATATATAATCTCTATTATATTAAAAGACTATTATTTATAATTAGTCGATCGATAAGTATAATAGCTTTTATTTCTATAAATAATTAATATAATATCTACGTAATATTATCGCGCTAACTAATCTATCTTTTTTATTACGCTTTTATCTTTACTACGTAAGATATTTTCTATTTTTTCTATTAATTTAATAATAACATTCTTAGTAAAGAATAAGTAAAAAAAATTAATTAAAACGAGTATTAATATATCTTATCTTTCTTATACTCTTATACTTTAATTTTAAATCGTTTCTCTATACGCTATATAACGAAGCGAGATAAAGCGAGATTCAAGATATAAGATCTTATCTCGCTTCGAGACGAGATTTTAACGAAATAAAATAAATTTAAAATAAGATTTTTCTTCGAATAACGAAGTATATTCTATTATCTCGTTAAGACTATTAATTAAATTAGAGATTTTTAGAGTAACTCCGTAGGAATATTTAAAGTATAGAATTTTTAGATTTCTTAGTTCTTACTATAAAATATTCGATTACTCTAAATACCTTATTATTAAATAAGTTTAATTTCTATAAATTTTTTAGAAATTCGTTTATTAGCCCTAGCTCTAATAGTTATTAATTCTATATCTTTAAATATTTTCTAGTCTCTATAAATATTGATATAATTATCTTTACTCTAATTCTTATAATTATATAATTTACTCTTCTTATCTTATATATAGAATTAATTAATAATAAGATCTATATCTTATTATAATTATTTAATTTTCGAATTATAAATTTTTTAGATATTAGAGAGAATAACGATAAGAGTAATAATAGAGATAACGATAAGAGTAACGATAAGAGTAACGATAAGCTTTCTCTTTCTTATTATAGCGTGTTAAAAGAATATAAACGTATAGAAGATAGATAGAAAGAATAGAAAGATCTAAATAATATACTCGAAATTTATTTAAAATAGTTATATAAAGTATTTATAAATATTCGAATATTCGAATATTTCAAAATTCTATAATAACTATACTTTTTCGGCGGTTATTCTCGAAGGTAAAATCGTCGAAGTTTCGAAGTTTTAGTAATTCGCTATTAAAATCTAATAGCGAATTACTAAAACTCCGATAGTTTAACGATTTTACGGGAAAAAAGTTACTTTAAAAATCTCTAATATAGTTTATATTATTATAGTAGTCGAAAAGATATAATATTTAATATAAGATATAGATAATTTTCGAGATATTATTCTAAAAGATATAGAATATTTCTAATTTTACTCGATATATTATATATGAATTATCGTATTTTAAAATTATCTTATATAAAATAGATTAATCTTATTATAGAGCTTTAAGAATTATAAGATTCTATAAATAGATTATAAAGATATAATTTTTTAAAGAAAAGAAGTAAAAGTTAAAAAATTCTAAGTTTAAAATTTTTTATATCTTTTCGATTAGTATTATATATTATTAGTATATATAAAAGAATAAGATAGAATTAATCTAAAAAATCTTAAATTTATATATATAGTTAATTATAAATTTAGAGTAATTACGCTCTTTAATTAGATCGACTAAGTTAGCTCGCTAGTTCTCTCGAGATCTCTTATTAAAAATAAGATATACGTTATTTATAATAGAAATAACTTTTTTATTTTCTATTAAAATTTTAAGATTTTTTTTTTAAATTATAGAGCGTTATTTACGCTTTTCAATTTTTTAAGAATTCTAAAATTTAGTCTTATAATTATTAATAAGTAAGAAATCTAAATATCGCTTATTAAAGTTCGCTCGATAGCTCTAATTAAAAAATAAGTAAATATTATTTAATTTTAAAATAACTTTTTTATTTTCTATTAAAAACTTTCGATTTCTTTTTAATTATATAGCGTAATTTATATATTTTAATTATTTAAGAATTTAAAAATTTAATCTTATAATTATTTAAAGATAAAGAATTTAAAGACTTCTTATTAAAGTTCGCTTATTAAATTTACTCGATAGCTCTAATTAAAAACATAGGTTATAAATTTAATTTATAGATCTAAACTCGTTTTTAATAAATATATAAGTTTAAATATTTATAAATAAAATTTATAAACTATAATTTTGAAATTAGACTCGACTCGAAGAGCGATCTTTAATAGCGATCTTTAATAAGCGATATTTGAATTTCTTATCTTTAAATAACTATAAGACTAAATTCTAAGATTTTAAGCTCGTTAAATAGCGTAAATTAAGCTCTATAACTAAGAGATATAATTAAGAAAGTCTAATTAAGAAAGATAAACTTATTTTAAGAGATAGTTTAATAGAGAGAGAAAATTTAATTATAAACGTTAATTTATTTATTCGCGATATCTAATTAAAAAGCGTAGCGAATTCGAATTTATAATTAACTATATATATAAATTTAAGATTTTTTAACTTAACTCTATTTTATTTTATAATATTTATTAATAATTAGTATATATAAAAGAATAAGATAGAACTAAGCTAGAAAATCTTAAATTTATATATATAGCCAATTATAAATTTAGAGTTACTACGCTCTTTAATTAAATCGACTAAGTTATCGCGGATAAATAAATTAGCGTTCGTAATTATTAAAATCTCTTAACCTACTTTTAATCCTTTAAAAACTTTACTATTTTCTATTAAAATTTTAAGATTATTTTTTTAAATTATAAAGCGTAGATTACGCTTTTAAATACTTTAAAAATTTCGAAATTTGATTTTATAATTATTAAAAGATAAGGTATTTAAATATCGCTTATTAAAGATTATATTAAAGATCGCTTATTAAAGACCGCTTATTAAATTTACTCGATAGCC